ATGAAATGAAATGAAATGAAATGAAACAAAATAAAATAAAATAAAATAAAAAAAAATAAAATAACATAAAATAAAATAATAACGCTGCTTCCAACGAATGGTTAATTCACTCCGGCATCTACGCCGAAACTGAAGGTTTTATGATCGCTATACAAGATCAAGTTATTGCGACTAGAAACTACTCGAAATATATTATGCGTGCTTCCGTTGAAAACGACCTATGCAGACGATGCCAAAAGCAAACAGAAACCATCCACCACATCACAGGAGCTTGTGTCACGTTAGCAGCCACCGAATACTTAACCAGACATAACCAGGTGGCAAAAATTGTACACCAGAGTCTAGCGATACAACATAAGCTAGTAACGGAAGAGCTGCCATACTTTAAATATACTCCAGACGCTGTAATTGAAAACAGAACGAGCAAGCTATATTGGGACCGATCAGTTTTGACGGACCGTCCAATGCCACACAATAGGCCGGACATAATAGTGGTCGAAAAAGAAGTGAATCAAGCGTTCCTCATAGATATAGGCGTACCAAATACTCACAATCTTCAAGATTGTTATATGGAGAAATACAGAAAATACCAGAGCTTAGCATACGAGATCAAGGATTTGTGGAAATTAGAAAAAGTAGAGGTGATTCCAGTTATAATTTCGACAACAGGAGTTATTCCAAAATCATTGAACACTAGCCTGGAAAAACTCAACATGGTAGAAAAGCGAAGGGCCATACAAAAATCTGTGATATTATCTACATCATCGATAGTTCGTAAATTTCTTAATATAAATTAGCATTAAGAAACAGAAAAGCTTGCAACTGTGTAGTATTGTCAATATCCGTTTGTAACCAATCTGAAGATTATATTTCTCTTATACTACTTTATAATCAATAGTGTTAAGTATTTTGTTGTATACCAACCAATACTTGATGTGAACCCGTAACGGAGAAACAATAAAAAATAAAATAAAATAATATAAAATTAAATTAAATTAAATTAAATTAAATTAAATTAAATTAAATTAAATTTTTTTTAATTAAATAAAAAGTAAAATACGATAAAACAATAAAATCAAGTTAAACACAAAAATGAACCAAGTTAAAGTGACTAAAATAAGTAAAGCTAAAAGAATTGAACTAAATAAAATAACATAAAGCAAACCAAAGCAAAATAAAATAACATACAAATAAATTTGCTCAATAAAAGGAAAAATAAAAATATATATAACACGTTGGAATGCGTTAGAAAGCCTTTCCTCAAGTGGCTTTTGAACTTTATCTGCCATTCAAACGCATTTTTTGAGAACAAAGTGTGTGTTTAAAGGGCAGATCAATTTTAAAAGCTACTTGAGAAATGGCCCTAAGAATAACAAAAATCAAGTGAAGAAATTTTGGGTCATTCTACGCAAAATAGGAAAACGGCATACAGCTTAAAATGCCTGTTTTGCAGTAGTAAGTAATCTACAGTTGAATGATAATATTTAATTTAATTTTTGTCTCTGAAAAATTTTACTTCATACACATGTATAAAATTAAAATACACCAGTCACAAAGACTTGTCCCTGTATACGCAATGTTCAAATTTTTTAAATTTCATATAGCAGCATCATTTTTAATGGAAACGAAAACGCATAGTATGTAGTTTACACCATAAAAAAATCTGGCTTGAAGATTGAGTGTTTTTGTTAAAATTCGTCTTTGAGTGCACAAAGGTAAAAAGAGGGATTTTTAGTGTCTCACTAGTAACATTCATTGAAAAACTACGCACAGATATTTTAATAAAAATTAATAAGAAGTAATGAACATACACATACTTTTTCTTTTTTCAGAAGTTTACGTTTATTCGGATTTTTTGTGAGCTACATTTATTTAAACTTAAACAGCACAAAATTTCTATAGTAAAGCTATTTATTTTCTCCAAGTAAAAGATGAAAATTGCTACTTCAATTGATTTTTATGTATGTATAATTATTTGGGATATTCTTGAGAAGCCACGGACTAGAT